TCCCCTGTCCGTCTGTCCGTCTGTCCCCGGCACCGTTGGGTTCCCGACGCGTCCCTCGGTCCCTCCCGGGGCTGGGGATGATTCCCCGTGTCCCTCAGAGCAGTGGGAGGAAGGGGATGATCCCACTCACCCTCTTCCCTCCGCTCCAGCATCCTCCAGAGGGTTATCCCAGGTTTGGGAGGGTCCTGGCGGAGGGACTTTAATCCCCGGGGGTGGAGGACACTCCCATCGCGGCGACACCGAGAGGTCCTTCCCCCCCAGCGGGAGAATCTGCTGAGTCTCCTCGAATCTTTGGGAGTTTGGATTGGGAAACGCTCCCTCCCGAAAACGCCAAAGGGCGGTTTGACAAATAAAAAGCGGATTTAGGGCGTGTTTGGGGGAGTTGTGAAAGCCGCAATTTGAGTTTGGGATTTCGTCAAAACGTCAAAACTTTTTTTTTTGTGTGTGTGTGTGTGCGTGACACTTTGATTGGGGGGGCAGATCTTTATCTGGAGTTATTGGGGAGTCAGGGCTGGGCATCCAATGAGGGGCTTGGAAAAAGGGACAGAGCGTCTTTCCCAGATTCCATAAAGATAGGGGAGCCCACTGAGTCACGGGTGGGGGGGAACCTGCCTGGATAATTCCGCTTTTAATTCGCCTCCCGATTGCAGGGCGTGTTCCCTGGGCAGCCCCAAATATGGCAAAGCTTCGTGAAAAAAAAAAAAAAAATCCGCCAACCCCCCCCCCCCCCCCCACGGGGTGCTGATGAAAACCCCAAATTGCTCTCCACCAGCACGCCCGGCCCACCCTCGGCAGGGGATAAAAGGGAATTCCCGGAGCCAGAGGAGCCAGAGGAGACTCCGAGAACTTCGCTCTGCACTCAGCTCTCTCTCTCTGTGCTCCTTTGGGATTTTAATTCCACCCGGGAAAAAGCCGACCATGTCCCGCCAGTCCGCCTGCAGGAGCTTTGGGATGGGAGGCAGGAAAGGCTTCAGCTCCTGCTCCGCCATGGGGGGAGGATTCGGGGGCGGCGGCGGCCGCAGCAGGATCAGCTACAGCTCCTACTCCTCGTGCCGGGGAGGAGGAGGAGGAGGAGGAGGAGGAGGAGGAGGAGGAGGAGGTGGAGGGCAGTGTGGGGGCTTCAGCAGCAGGAGCCTGCACAGCATGGGGGGCGGCAG